TTTCTTCCAAGACGCCGTGATTTGCGCCCACTCTGTACAATATCAAGCGCCACCATGAAGCATCAACACTCTTTTTTCGCGTTCAAGCTCCATACTGGAACCCATTGTTATATATTTCAGTGTACGGTAAATGAAAGGCTCCCCCTCAACACTCAAATCGTCAAATATGGCTATTGTAAACTCGGAAAAAAACCGTCAGCCTAAAAACCTGATGGAAAATTTATCTGCAGTATTTTAGAAGTGATCTATACGGACGCAGTAAAATTTATGGAATAGCATCTAAGTCGGCCATTTAACGGCTGCGCACTTCTTCACAGAGTGGTTCTTTTACATGCTGATCTCAATCAGTGGAGATTAGTGCGATCAAAGAATTACCTCAAACTGATCCCATTCCTGTTGCCCATCCAAGCCGAATGAAGAAATTGTATATGTACTGAAATAAGAAAAAGTTTACCTTCCTTTATAAATTATTAGTAAGGAAAACATTCCAAGACCACATCAAAAGGCTGAAGAGGATCAGTGCCTAGTGGCGGTGGGATGGAACGATGCCGCTAAGAATTGTATTATGTTGAACCCTACGCAGTCCCCGCTTTCGATACCAATATTCAAAACATAAGAAGTACCCTATCATCCTGAGTTATTCAATACCCACTACCCAGAACCGTTCCTACCTATTAAAGGAATTCTCCACGGAAAAAGCTCCGCCCTCATTACCACAGAAAACGATACCTTAAAGGAATCTTCCACGGAAAGAGTGATCATTTTGTCTTGTGTGTAGGATTAGTATTATCGAAACTAACGCTTATGTTCCGTTCTTTTTGCTATGCTCATGAGGCTAGGGGCCTAAGGGGTATCGTTTTTCTGTGGTAATGGAGGCGGAGCTTTTTCCGCGGAAGATTCCTTTAACAATATTCGCGAGCGATCGAATACCTCATCTTCAGAAATACTCAATGTTGGCGGAGGTCCGTCCTGAGGTGTTCATCATCATCAACATAATCATCATCATCATCGCGGCTCTCTTTCTTCAAGAATTGAACATAGGCGTGGATAATTCGTGGTTGATTCCTACGAGTTCGTGAGAATGTAAGGGGCGAGAAGGAACCACTGAGCCCACTTTCTAAGCAGACTTTTGAGTTTTCCGATATACGATCGGGAGTGCTCATCGAGGGAGTGGACAATTTCACCTACACAAAGCCGAAACACTGTGAGATCCACAACATGTCTACACAGCTGGGAGCACTAGATATCTGCGCTAGCAGCTTGAGGTCCATAACTGCAAGGTGAGGCACTGCAAGGGTGAAGGTCACTCTCCAGAACTCGCCCGGTTGCCATACATCAAGTGAAGACTGTATTTGGATAACATCAACCACGCCGTTCTCTATTCGAAGATGCCTTGCCAACACAGCCGAACCGCCAACTTCGAAAGCACGATTTACCTGCAAGTACTAGATGTCTGCGCTAGCAGACCTTCACTCGTGTTCGCTTTCACTCCGTGTTGAATGTACCGTTCCAGCCTCGTCGATTGCTCAAAAGCTTGGAAGAGTTGAACTGGGCAGCATTTAAGTACTGCTTATCTAGTGTAAGTCCAGAGCTGCTGTTAGACGAGGCGAATTGCAAGAAGCAGTCGAACCTCAATTAATATGCTCCACCTCCAAGGCAATAGCTGTGCTCTCGAGACTTCGGGAGCTCATCTCGACCGGGTACCCCCCAGGAGGCCCGTCGCGCGGCAAGAAGGCCGAGTCAGCGGACGAGTCGCGCGCGTATTAGGGATTTCGCGTCAAGTTAAATAGAATGTCCCATTGCACGTCCTACATCGCACATCACGCGCTGCAACTCGTCCGCCGACTCTGCCTTCTTGCCGCGCGACGGGCCTCCTGGGGGGTACCCATCTCGACCTGATCCTTCACTCCTGGTGTACGTTCCGTCCACATACCACGACAGGCTCTTCTCGTTGAGTTTCCCAGGAGGAATCCGTAAAATTAACTCTTAAGAAGCACGCATCGGCATCAATGCTTGTTTGAGATGAGTACAGTTGGTTCAGTTTCGTAATGTGAAACATTGGTAGGGATCTTACACAACATGTTGCCCAAACACTATAAAGTATTTTGGCGAGACAGCAAAAGCTGCAAAAAAGCGGGCATTACCTATGGTTCAATCTCGTACAATGTTGATGATTTTTGTATTGGACCTTTTTTATAGACACGTTTTACTCTGTGTGAATAAAGACGTTCAATTGCTCTCACATGTGCCTTTTATAGACGTAATAATCTTGTACTTACACTTATACAACCCTAAAATAAACTTTCCGAAGAAAAGCCACCACTTCCCCTTCACCTTCCGTTCCCGGAAGATCTGTTACCTGCCACAGAATTATATGGTGCGAAACAGCACTGTTTTTAAATCGCTGTTCCCACATCTCATTACATTACATAGGCCGAATAGGCATTCGAATGCCATTATAACAATGAATAGGAATCAAATTCATG